CTCAGAACAGCAGCAGAACCTCTACAGTTCTGCTGCTGGAAGTTCCCAGCTGTGAAGTCCATCCAGAGGCACTCTGCCCCTGCCATGCTGTACAGAGCAGTATTCTGTAGTAACTCTCCATGCCACTGGGATCAGAGGCAAGTTCAGGAAGCAACAGGTGTGTGGCAATTAGACCACATGCCAAAACCTCCCATGAAGGCAGTGACAGAGGCTGCAGATACTACTGCAACCTTTAGGGTGCATTAACAGCCATGGAAAAGCCCCACAAAGGGTACTCTGCAGTGTGGGGAGCAGAAAAGCTTCCAATCTCCCACTGAGAATCCCTGCACTCTTCCCTGTTAATAAGCTTTGCACGGGGCTCAGTATTTGGCCCAAAGTGATTATAAAAATCATGGGGAAAACAAAGATGGATAATGTGTGATGAGTACCCAGATCACGGTTCAGATCTCTAAATCAGGTGTTAATAGACAATCCCCAAGACTTGGAAGAGTTTCCGGTTTTTGAAGTACCTTTGAAGTACTTGTTAGTCTCTAAGGTGCCACAAGTACTCCTGTTCTTTTTGAAGTACTTTGGGGTTCTCTTCAGTAAAGAATCATTCCAATAGAGAGCCACTTGTCTTATTCAGGGAATCATTGCAACCAATGATACACAAACAGCTACAAGATGTATTTGTTATTATTCCCTTTTATGAGCACGCATTCCCTTAGTCCATAGGTGCCACTACATATATTAAAAAAAGCAAATCAATGATCCATCAAGAGAAGGAAGTTGTGTGTAGTTTGTCAAATAGGATATTGGTGTGGACATGGGCCACATCCACTTATAAACAAACAACACTCCTTTTCCCTGTGCCATACATTCACCTATAGGACACATGGGGATACATGTCTGTTTTTATCCCCTCATGCACAATTGCAGCATCATGTATTTTCAGTGTGTAGCAGTTTTCAGTTATCTTAAATTGACATACTCCTTTATTTTCATGCCTATGTCCATGTGGCTCTTCTGCCAGAATTTGTTCTTCATTAGGGTGCATACGGATTTAGCTATGTAACTCTCTTTAATCCCTGTAAATGCTAGTTGTTTGCACAAGTTATGTAGAAAAGACAGAAAAGTATGTACAAAAAGCAAGTGTTAAAGTGTGACTTTTTAATCTTCTACCTGTCCCCAGCCTCACACTATAATAAAACATCCCCAAAGCTTGTCAGAGGAGAACATAATTAAAAACAACTATGCACAAAATTAATTAATACTGTTCCCTAAATATCTGCAAAGAATGAAATATTACTGTATAAAATAGCAAAGTGCAGAGCTGCAAGAGACTTGCCTTTGAACAGTGAACTGAACCATCCCAGGAGGTGCTACCATATCTAGTTCTCATCGATTAAACAAGAGCTCCTTAAGGAAAACAAAGTGCTTCAAAGATGGAAACCTTATCTACTGACAAATTCCTACTGCATCAAAAAAGAGATTACTTGAAAAACAATAATACAGTACATTGGAAAGCAATGTACAGGCATCTACACTGCAAACACCTCCCTTTTTATTACATTATCACAGACAGCAAGTATATTAAGTGGAAGCTTTTAGATTAAATTGGAATTGTGTTCCCTAAAAGAAAAAAGCAAATATACATTATTTAACAGGATGTGGATGGACCAGAATGGTACAAATCTAAATGTGACTGACACATACAGTAGGGATGCACTGAGTTATAGCACCTGAATTCTGTGGGCCCAATTCTCAGGCATACTAAGGCCACTTTACACCATTCTGGTAGTGTAAAGGAGTCTTAAAGTGAGAGTAAATTATATTTATACACCCTATAATGCCCCCTTTGCATTGCTAGCACAGTGGAAAGTGACCTTAGTGTACATAAGAATCAGGCCCTATATTTCAGTAGTTCCCTACTTTCTTTTCTGTTGGAGCCCCTCACCCATTGTGAGAGATTGATAGATAGACCCACATTTGCCCAATTCTCCAGCAGGTGTCATGACTGTACATCTTTCTGTCCATTCTCTCTCTTTCCAACCCCTTTCCAGTCACATTCTTTTTTCCCCTTCACCTCCTTGTTTTTTCTCTCTTTTGACTTCTCTTTTTATTTAATTTTATACTTTTCCTTGGTTGTGGGGGTTATTTTAGCTCCTCTCTCCTGATTGCTCCCCTTACCTGTTATGTCACTCACCAGAAGCCTACATATTCCTTGGGGAAGGGGATCCACTGGAGCTCTGTGGAGATGGCATACAGGTCCTCTCAGCTGAATGATGTGTTGCAAAGACATAAAGCTTTGAACCTCTGAGCTGCCTCCTAAGGTCTCAGTTTAGCCAAACACTGAAATACATGCCTAACTTCAAGCACATAAGTAATCCCTCCGTGTTGAGGAAAGCACTAAGGCATGTGCATAAATTTAAGCATGTGCTTAAGGGACTTTGCTGACCAAAGATGGGATTGTTCACATACTTTAAGTAGCTTTATATTCATGAGCTGTTCCTATGACCAGCTGTATAGGGACCAGCGCAGAAGAAATGTGGGTTGGTGGGTTTCAAAAAGCTGTTCACTGCTTTCCCCAAAGCAGCACATTTGCAGACGACAGTTGGAAATTCATTAGCTCAATATGGTACTTCTGTGATTAGAAGTAGAGTGCAAAAAGTTAAGGTTATTTAGCTTGGAATGGAGAAGTACAAAGGGGATTTGATTGAGGAATTTAGAATTATGAAGGCCATAGTGAAAATTGATTTGTCTTTCCTTTTTACAATGTTAAATAATACAAGAACAAGAGGACTTTTAATGAAGTTAACAGGCAGCACCAATAAAGGGGAATAGTGCTTTTTGCAATGCACAGACAACCCATGGAATTCAATGCCACAGGTAATACAGACTATACTAGGGCTAGAGCTAAAAATCTAAGATAACAAAATTAACAGCTGTGCAAGCCAAAAAACCAACAACAGGATGCAAAATTTCTCCCTAGTACAACATCTGAGATTCAGGATACATGCAGGAACCATGGAGCAATGTGTCCCTTATGTATAGTTTATACCCACTGGCTAGATGCATTTTTGTCCCGCCTTCCTTTGGAGCACCAGGCTACTGCTAGAGGCAGGATACTAACTAGACCAGCAGTTCTCAACCCGTGGGCCGCATACGGCCCAATTAGCACACAGCTGCAGCCCAGTTCAGCTGTGTGCTAAAGGCTGGCCTGCGTGCTGGGGTCCGCAGCGGGGGTCGGGGCAGCCAGTCAGCCCAGTGCAGTAGGGGGTCTGGGGCTGGCAGCCGGCTGGCCCAGTGCAGCGGAGGTCCGGGTTGGGACTGCTTGCCTGCCCAGTGGGGCCTGGGGTCTGAGGCTGCCAGCTGGCCCCACGGGGTCCAGGGTCTGACTGGTGCAGCTGTGTGGCGGGGGTCCGGGGTGGGCAGCTAGCCAGCCCCACATGGTGGGGGTCCAGAGTCAAGGTCCCGGGCTACCGCTGCCCTGCCACCCAGCCCCTGCAGCCCAGGTAACGCATTGTGTAATACGTTGAGAACCACTGAACTAGACTATATATCAAGTCCCTGGTGGACGGGGGAAGTATAACATACTGGCTATTAGGTCCCTTACTTGTAATGAAAGAAGACACAGTGAAGGTGAACTGCGAAACTTTTACATGGTTGAAAGCACATAGAGGAGCTGCTTTCCTAGTTGCCTACAATGTGCACTCTGCCCCCTTGACCTCTGCTTACTAGTCATCAAGGCAACAGTGCTATGTTCATGTATACATATTTATATACAAACATGTAAAACAACTTCAGGATATGCACATAAAACTACGTAACCACATAACCTTATTCTGTAACCGTTTCCTCCCTTCCCAAGTTCCTTGTCACATTGTTTAATAATAATTACACAGGAAATGCATCCCGATTATGTCTATCAGGAGTGGGAGCACAAAATGGAGGCAGACACAAAGGGAACAGCTGGAGTTTGTAGAGCCGGCCTACACTCTTTTGGTCCCCCTGCACCTCCAGCATTGACCAGAAGTTTAAGTAGTTGGTGAATACATGCAGTAAACAACAACAAAAGCTTTAAAAACCCAGAACAAATATGGAATTTACCTAATAAGAGCTGAGGAAATCTACTAGGTCAATAGGGCTCCACCTACACAGGTGTCCACCCACAGAGAGCTCATTGTGGGATGAGGGCTATGTCTGTGACTGCCTGCAGGTCGCATCCTCCTGATCACACTGACTATGGGTCCGATTCCAGCTCAGTAATTTCATATCTAACTTTTTATACAAGGAGCATTTATAAGAAGTTCTCATTAGTGATTTAGTGTTTTACATTCAATCAGATACTTGGAAACTATTTTTTATTCTCCTGAAGCTTTCCTTTAAATCGTGGGCCAGATCCTGAGCTGATGAAAACTGGCAAACTTGCATTGATTTCCATGGAGCTCTGTTAATTTACACCAACTGAGGATCTAGCCCATGGTTTCCTCAAGGCCCAAGAAACAACCAAGGTACAGCAAGAAGCCAGGGATTTGAGAGTTCCTCACTGTAAGCCCAGTTCATGGACCCTGGGTTTGAAAGCCCAGGGCTTGACTGTCCACACTCATTGGAGACCCCCAGGTTAAGAATTTTTGAGCCCAGGTCTCACACCAGGACCCCAGAGTCCACACTGCAGTAGGCAGACCTGAGTCCAACCAATCATATCCGAAACGACCTAGTGCCCTCCCAAAATGTGGCCACTCTAGCACTTTGTTCATGGTGTTGTGTGGGAAAACTTAACTGTCTCCCCGTCAGACCACCCCACATCACAGGAAGTTTTTGTAGCCTGCCAGCACATTTTGTCGAGCCATCATTTTGGTCTGCACACTCCCAGCAATGTGGAGGAGTCACCATTTGAAGAATTTCTCTTGCTTGGGCTTTTACTCCTATTTCAGGAAACAGGCAGAGCTGAAATGAGATGCTGATGGACCTTTTGGTGGTGTTTTCTGACGCACAGAAGGAACCTGACAGAACTCATGATGGAGCAGGAGGAGGAGGCGGATATAGACATGGAAGATCCCAACTGGCTGATGCCGCTCATGACTCTCAGAATAGCCACAGATGCCCCCTGCATAGACTGGCACTTCTGGAGCAGAGCCACAAGTGCAGACTGGTGGGATCACATCATCAAGTGGACCTGGCATGACCAGCAGTAGGTCCAGGACTTTCGCATGAAGAAAGCTACATTTCTGGAGCTTTGCAAGCTGTTTGCCCTAACCCTCCAGCATCACAACACACACATGAGGGCAGCCACATCAGACCAGAAGCGAGTTGCTATAAGCATCTGGAAGCTGGCTACTCCAGACTGCCACAGATCCATTGCTAACCAGTTTGATGTTGGGAAGTCAACTGTAGGTAAAGTGGTGGCAGAGGTTCTGAAGTGATGAGGCATGTGATTTATGCAAAAGTGATGGGCATAAACAATACTCCTAAAATAATTACTGGCTTTGAGAGAATGGGCTTTCCAAACTGCACTATTGATGGGACTCATGTGCCCATGGTTTGGCCTTCTGGGGGAAGCAAATACCTCTATACCCAGAGGCAGATTAAGCTTTTGTGGGCTCCTGGGCCAGAGCAAGTGGGGGCCTCTCCCCACCCTTTCTGCCTGCAGTCATAGAATCATAGAATCACAGAATATCAGGGTTGGAAGGGACCTCAGGAGGTCATCTAGTCCAACCCCCTGCTCAAAGCAGGACCAATTCCCAACTAAATCATCCCAGCCAGGGCTTTGTCAAGCCTGACCTTAAAAACCTCTAAGGGTATGTCTACACTACGAAATTAGATCGAATTAATAGAAGCCGGTTTTATAGAAATCGGTTGTATACAGCCGATCATGTGTGTCCCCACATAAAATGCTCTAAGTGCATTAGTTCGGCGGACCGCGTCCACAGTACCGAGGCTAGCGTCGACTTCCGGCGCATTGCACTATGGGTAGCTATCCCACAGTTCCCGCAGTCTCCGCCGCCCATTGGAATTATGGGTTGAGATCCCAATGCCCGGATGATGCAAAACAGTGCCGCGGGGGGTTCTGGGTACATGTCGTCATGTCCCTCCCCCTACGTCACAGCAACGGCAGACAATAGATTCGCGCCTTTTTACCTGGGTTACCTGTGCAGACAGCATACCACGGCAAGCATGGAGCCCGCTCAGCTCAGCTCACCGTCACCATATGTCATCTAGGTGCCGGCAGACGTGGGACTGCATTGCTACACAGCAACAGCAGCTAACTGCCTTTTGGCGGTAGACGGTGCAGCATGACTGGTAGCCTTCATTGGCGATCTGGGTGCGGGCAGCTGTGGGGCTAGCAGCCGTAGGGCTGCATTGCACCAGCCCCTTGCCTTTTGGTAGAAGATGGTTTATTATGACTGGTATCCGTCCTCGTCGTACTGCAGTGGCTGTCAATCATGGGCACCCGGGCAGACAATGATGGTTATCAGTCGTAGTATGCTATTTTCTGCCAAGTACCCAGTATTGTCTGCTAAGCACCCAGAAGAGGCCGATGGCGATCTGGGTGCTGGCAGACATGGGGCTGGCAGATGTGGGGCTAGATTGCTACACAGCAGCTACCCCTTGCCTTTTGGGCAGTAGATAGCATATTATGATTGGTATCCATCATTGTCATATTGCAGTGGGTATCAGATCGTGCAATAGACCTGAAGGCTTACTGCCAAGCGCCCAGAAAATGCCAAGGGCTATCAGTCATGCTGCACCGTTGTCTTAAGATGTAAAAAATAGATTTATTCTGTATTCATTTGCTTCCCCCCTCCCTCCCTCCTGTTAAACCCTGACTTTTGAGTTCAATCTTTGGGGGGGGGGGCATTCTGTGTGACAGTTGTTTGTGTTTCTCCCTGATGCAAAGCCACCTTTCTTGATTTTAATTCCCTGTACCTGTACGCCATGTCGTCACTCGCCCCTCCCTCCCTCGCTCCCTCCCTCGGTCCGTCAGATACTACTTTCGCGCCTTTTTTCAGACCAGATGCCATAGCTAGCACTGGGATCATGGAGCCCGCTCAGATCACCGCGGCAATTATGAGCACTATGAACACCACGCGCATTGTCCTGGAGTATATGCAGAGCCAGGACATGCCAAAGCAAAACCAGGACCAGGCGAGGACGAGGAGGAGGCGATTGCAGCGCGTCGACGAGAGTGATGAGGAAATGGACATGGACATAGACCTCTCACAAGGCACAGGCCCCAGCAATGTGGAAATCATGGTGTTCCTGGGGCAGGTTGATGCCGTGGAACGCCGATTCTGGGCCCGGGAAACAAGCACAGACTGGTGGGACCGCATCGTGCTGCAGGTGTGGGACGATTCCCAGTGGCTGCGAAACTTTCGCATGCGTAAGGGCACTTTCATGGAACTTTGTGACTTGCTTTCCCCTGCCCTGAAGCGCCAGAATACCAGGATGAGAGCAGCCCTCACAGTTGAGAAGCGAGTGGCGATAGCCCTGTGGAAGCTTGCAACGCCAGACAGCTACCGGTCAGTCGGGAATCAATTTGGAGTGGGCAAATCTACTGTGGGGGCTGCTGTGATCCAAGTTGCCAGGGCAATGAGAGACCTGGTGATATCAAGGGTAGTGACTCTGGGAAACGTGCAGACCATAGTGCATGGCTTTGCTGCAATGGGATTCCCAAACTGTGGTGGGGCGATAGACGGAACCCATATCCCTATCTTGGCACTGGAGCACCAAGCCACCGAGTACATAAACCGCAAGGGGTACTTTTCAATGCTGCTGCAAGCCCTGGTGGATCACAAGGGACGTTTCACCAACATCAACGTGGGCTGGCCGGGAAGGGTACATGATGCTCGCGTCTTCAGGCACTCTGCTCAGAAAGCTGGAGGAAGGGACTTTCTTCCCGGACCAGAAAATAACCGTTGGGGATGTTGAAATGCCTATCGTGATCCTTGGGGACCCAGCCTACCCCTTAATGCCATGGCTCATGAAGCCATACACAGGCAGCCTGGACAGGAGTCAGGACCTGTTCAACTACAGGCTGAGCAAGTGCCGAATGGTGGTGGAATGTGCATTTGGGCGTTTAAAAGCGCGCTGGCGCAGCTTACTGACTCGCTCAGACCTTAGCGAAAAGAATATCCCCATTGTTATTGCTGCTTGCTGTGCGCTCCACAATCTCTGTGAGAGTAAGGGGGAGACATTTATGGCTGGGTGGGAGGTAGAGGCAAATCGCCTGGCCGCTGATTATGCGCAGCCAGACACCAGGGCGGTTAGAGGAGCACAGCATGGCGCGGTGCGCATCAGAGAAGCTTTGAAAACCAGTTTTGTGACTGGCCAGGCTACGGTTTGAAACTTCTGTTTGTTTCTCCTTGATGAAATCTCCGCAACCCCCGCCCCACCCGGTTAACTCTACTTCCCTGTAAACCAAGCACCCCACCCTCCCCTACTACCCTCCCCCCTTCAAGCACCACTTGCAGAGGCAATAAAGTCATTGTTACTTCACATTCATGCATTCTTTATTACTTCATCACACAACTAGGGGGATAATTGGAAAGGTAGCCCGGGATTGGTGGGGGAGGAGGAAAGGAAAAGGACACACTCCAATTTAAAACTTTAAAACTTATTGCTATGGAGATCATCTAGGGAGTGAGTGGGTGGCCGAAGGCCCCCCCACCGTGTTCTTGGGCGTCTGGGTGAGGAGGCAATGGGACTTGGGGAGGATGGCTGTTGGTTACACAGGGGCTGTAGCGGCGGTCTCTGCTCCTGCTGGCTTTCCTGCAGCTCAACCATACGCTGTAGCATATCAGTTTGATGCTCCAGCAGACGGAGCATGGACTCTTGCTTTCTGTGTGCAAGCTGATGCCACCTCTCATCTTCAGCCCGCAACTTCCTCTGTTCCTCCCGCGATTCAGCCCGCCACCTCTCCTCCTTCGAATATTCACTAGCCTCTGCAAAGGAGAGACATGTGCAGCTGGTGGATGAGAAGGGAGAGGTGGTTAAAAAAGACACATTTTAGAGAACAATGGGTACACTCTTTTATGTTACATTTTGCTGTTCACATTACACAGCAGATGTGCTTTCGTTACAAGGTCGCATTTTTCCTCTTATATGGAGGGCCTGCCTGTTTGGTGTGAGAGATCACTCACGCAGTGCCAGGTCACAGATTTCAGCTTGCAGGCAGCCATGGTAAGACACAGTCTTTTGGCTTTTTTAACCTTCTTAACATCTGGGGATGGTTTCAAAGAGTACTGCTATCATTAACCATACCAAGGACCCGTTGGGTTGGCCATTTAAAATGGGTTTGCGATGTAAAAGGAGGGGCTGCGGTTTCAGGGTTAACATGCAGCACAAACCCAACTAATTCCCTTCCCCCCCTCCCCCCAATTCTCGGATGATCACTTCACCCCTCCCCCCACCGCGTGGCTAACAGCGGGGAATATTTCTGTTCAGCAGACCAGGAAGGGGCACCTCTGAATGTCCCCTTAATAAAATTGCCCCATTTCAACCAGGTGACCGTGAATGATATCACTCTCCTGAGGATAACAAAGAGCGATAAGGAATGGATGTTGTCTGCATGCCAGCAAACACCGGGACCATACGCTGCCATGCTTTGTTATGCAATGATTCCAGACTACGTGCTACTGGCCTGGCGTGGTAAAGTGTCCTACCATGGCGGACGGGATAAGGCAGCCCTCCCCAGAAACCTTTTGCAAAGGCTTTGGGAGTACATGAAGGAGAGCTTTCTGGAGATGTCCCTGGAGGATTTCCGCTCCATCCCCATACACGTTAACAGACTTTTCCAGTAGCTGTACTGGCCGCGATTGCCAGGGCAAATTAATCATTAATCATTAAACACGCTTGCTTTTAAACCATGTGTAATATTTACAAAGGTACACTCACCAGAGGTCCCCTGTGTGCCCACAGGGTCTTGGGTGAGTTCGAGGGTTACTGGTTCCAGGTCCAGGGTGATAAACATATCCTGGCTGTTGGGGAAACTGGTTTCTCCGCTTCCTTGCTGCTGTGAGCTATTTACATTATCTTCATGCTCATCTTCCTCATCCCCAGAACCCGCTTCCCTGTGTGTTTCTCCATTGAGGGACTCATAGCACACGGTTGGGGTAGTGGTGGCTGCACCCCCTAGAATGGCATGCAGCTCCGCGTAGAAGCGGCATGTTTGCGGCTCAGCCCCGGACCTTC